GCTACCCAAACGCTTCGGCCTGGACACCTTTGGTTGTGAGTTGAAGCTCCTTGCAGAAGATACCCGCTGTCCCCTTAGTGACCCAATCCATGAAGAGCTTTGGGACAGTAAGGGATTTCAGTTGGTCATTCAAAAAAGCTGGAGAGCTGTGAGCTCGAAGGAGCAAATTAATCGTGAAGTGTATGAAGATCTCCCCAAGGCCATTTGGGTTCCGGCAAATGAAACAGGCATCCTCCCTGCTAAAGCTTTTTTCTCCCTTGCTCGTCTTCGTCATGTGCAAGTAGAAGCAGGCTTTCACACCATCGAGCGACATGCGTGGCGCTACTGCCACACCCTCACTATTGTCCAACTGCCCAGCTCGGTGGTGGCAATTGAGAATGCTGCCTTTCAAAGGTGTTATGCGCTCACCACCGTGGCAATGCCAGGGTGTGTCTCTCTTGGAGCCAGACTCTTCGCAGAATGTTGTGCCCTCGAGCAGGTAGGGATGCTTACAGAAAACTCTTGCCGATTGGCCAATGGGGCTATCACTTCCCCTATGCTTTTGAGGGATGTGAACGGCTTGCACAGATTGGCCTCCCCTCGACCAAAGCCATCACCGATATAAGGGCTCCTTCGTCCTCCCCAGTAAGCTTACCAATGGGATGCTTCCACTCGTCGGGAATTCAAGCGATCAAAAGAAACAACCTTTATCGGGCATAAAGCCTTTCCGCTGTGTCAGCAATTAGCCGAAGTTGATCTCTCGCAGACACAAGTGGACATTGTGCACATGCAAGTCTTTGCACACTGCCAGTCTTTGGCGCGAATATCCCTGCCTATGCATTTAACGGAAATTAGTGCAGAGGCCTTCGAGGCCTGCAGATCGTTATGTACAGTAGCCCTCCCCCAGCCGCTTCGTTACATTGGACACAGGGCATTGGCAGGGTGCAATAAGTTAGTGTGCCTCACCTTTCGAAGTACGAAAGCCAGCCGACGACGCCTGCATATTGCTGCCAATGCTTTTGAGGGGTGTCAGGCATTGACCATCCCTGGAGGGGTTTGCTATCTATCCTTGTGGCAAACAAGGCGCTCAAGGGAGCATATCCCGGGGGGGTCGAGATAACAAAACGGAACAATAGTACCAGGTGAAAAGCACTCTGACGGCTGCCCGTGCAGTTGTCCGCTTCCCAACTTCCATAGCGAAACCATCAGATAGGTAAGGCCGATTGTGGTCTGCCGCAGGACCTTTAGGCTCGAAGACAGGCGCACACTGCCGGGCTAAGGACTGTAGGCCATGATAGCAGACCACATATCAGTGACTAGCTCGCAATGGAGCGATGAAAGGTCAATGGTCGTACACCTGATCTTAACCACACTGGCGGGAGAGGAAACGAAGCTGACAATCGAGCTGCAGGAATTTGATCGCCTCCATGAATTCGAAAATGCGGTCTTGGAGCAACTCCCCAAGATAGGAGAAAGCAGTACCTTTGGCTGTGCGCTGGACTTTGTCTGCCGTAACACTCACGAGAAATTAGGGGACCCAATATGGCACACCTTACGAGACAACAATTGTTTTACTGTCATCTCCTGCCCATGTCTTGAAGAAGCCGAACACAAGGGGCAAATGAAAGGTGATGCGAAAGCCATTCGAGTCCCGTATCGCACCACAGACAGAGTTCTCCCACAAGCCTTCTCTTATATTACGGAGGTACGGCGTGTGCTCGTTGACACAGGGCTCCGTATCATAGGGGAAGCTGCATGGCGCAACTGCCAACGCCTCCAAATTGTGCATTTAGCTAGCACAGTTATCTGCCTGCAAACACGAGTTTTTCGCAGATGCTATGCACTCCGCGCGGTGCTTGCCCCAGGCTGCAAGCAGTTTGGGATCCAAGTCTTTGAAGAGTGCTGTTCCCTGGTGCAAATTGGGACGAGCGAGGAGACGGCCAATCAATTAGCCCCGCAGGCAGAACTGATGCCCAGGGCTATTGAAAAATGCACAGCGTTGCGACATCTTGATCTGGGACAGTCCGAGTACAATCCTGCCAATTTGACGCGGTGCCTGCCAGAGTGCTGCTTCCTTGAGGCCGGAATAACCTCACTGTCCCTGCCTCCAAACTTCACATGGATTGGACCAGCGGCCTGCGAACGTTGTCTGCAACTGCAGATGGTGGACCTCTCAAGCACAGGAGTCACGGAGATCATGGGTTCTGCCTTGCACACTGTAAAAACCTTCAATCTCTAAGGCTTCCACACAAACTACGAAGAATTGAGCAAGAAGCCTTTCTCAAGTGCACCTCCCTGACAGAGGTCAGTGTGCCACCTACGCTGCTCTACATCGCAAGATGTGCCTTCGCTGGCTGCAAGCAACTCTGCCAATTTCAAAGAGTTGGAAAACGCAAGACGTGGAGAGGAACATACTCCAGAGCCAATGCGTTTCTAAGGTGCGATAACCTTGATATGCCAAAGTGGGTTCGCTGGTTGCCACGCAATCGAAAAGATGAGGACCAATGGGCAGATGGCTCCTTTGAAGTCCTCAATTAGGGGTAAACTTCTAGAGATGCATGCAGCTGTGCTCACAGCTGGCACCCGTGTGCTGGCCCTGTCCACTTCAAAGGCCACCCCTCTCGAGTGCCCCAACGAGATAGCTGCCCACTAAAGAAATTTCTTGGTATGCCTTAAGGGAAGTGCCAACGACCAGGACTAAGACAACAATTGGACAATTGGACCGACCGACGCACGCTGCCATCCACAACTGCAAATAGCGTCTAACACCTGCACGCTAGCCTTTCAGACTAGCACCCGTGTGTTGGTCCTGAGAGTGCCACTCCATTTCGTTTTGCTCTTCACCTTTGCTAGCCTGAGTAGCTAGACAGTGCCCAGGCTGCTACCCGTGTAGCGGCGCTGGATGAGTACAGTGTACAGACTTAGGAAAGCGGCGTCTCACCTCGTCTCACCCATTTTCGTGTAGTTCATGGGGCCTTGCGCGTGTCGGCCGATATTTACCTGGCCGCGTTTGAAAGGAGATGTCAGATGCCTGACTGCAGTATCACTGAAAGGAAGAATGCACACCATGTGCTGCCCGTAGGAGCTTTCTCGCCTTGCTCCCGCTGCTGAGCTGTTTTGGAGTCGAGGCGAGAACGATGCACTCCCTCTGTTGTCTCCTCCCCCCTTGGGGGGGGGGCTTTTCGTTATTTTGGAAATTCCGATCGCAAGTCCAGTGGTCTTCCTCTAGTTGCCACCCATGCCAACTGTGAGCCCCTGATCATCACGTGCGCAAAACAGTCCAGCTGTCAATCAGTGTCAATCAGTGGGTCCAATTTTGATATTGGAGGACCTGCTACTGACAGGACAGTGCTCAGGCAACGCAGTAATGCCTGTCAAGGGCCTTTGCTAAGCTTTCATGGACACACACTCTTCCTCGCCTTTGCCTCCAGTATGTCGCTTCGTTATGCCCTCTGCCACTAGAACAAGATGACCCAGGCACTTACGAGTTTGTTGAAGGACAAGATATACTGAGTGCTTTGCGGAATTCATTGCCCCTGTCTCACCCTCACTCACTATCTCTGCAAGACCACAAGAGTTGCGTAACAGGTTGTTTCCTTGGTTTGGTGTCCTTTTGGGGGTTGTGGTTTTTGGTTTTTTGGTTGCGTGGGGGTTTTCTTGTTTTGCCTCTCTGTTGGATTGCAACCTGGATAGCAACTCTCTCTTAACTCGACTAAGGTGACTTGTGCAGAACCTGCACACATAGCGCCTCGACTCGTGCAAAAAACGTACAGATGTCCTCACTCAAAGCCTCCACTCGCTTTTCCTGCTGGTGACGGGCAATACCCAAGGTATTGTCCCCAAGCCTCCAATTAAGTTTGGCAAGGACCTGTGCATCGCAGCTCGCACGGACAGCGTTCATATCATATCCATTGCGCTCTCATTGGCTTCAGCCCTCCAAACAGAGCGCTCGACCTTGGTAGTGCAGGGGTTTTTGGCGCTGGCAAGACCCGGTCTCTCACATTTCTTCTAGCGTGGATTGCCATCACCACGAACTTGAAGATTGGGGTTGCCCACAAAGAAAACCCAGCAGGTTGGGCAATCACCAAACTCCTCACCTCCCTAGATCTTGAAGAGGAACATGCTCGGCTCTTTGTCAGACGCGTTGGAAGGGAAGAGGCTGACGCCAATACGGCGAGCACTCCACACGACCTTGCCACACAAACCTGCGCATCAGCCATTCCAAAAGCCAAGGTAGTCATCGCGACCACTGGTCTCGCATGGGAGCAAAAAGCGTAAATCCACTCTCCACTGCGTGTGCACATGGAAAGTGTAGATAAACTCGTAAGTGAAGAAGCCCAACAGGACATGGACCTGAAGTCGGCTTTTGTTCCAGCTGTTCCGCGACACAACCCTTTTTCAGACTCCTTTTTGGCGACAAAGCAAAGTCCAGGGGGTGTTGCTGATAATCTTCGGGACCATAGGGCTCTTCTCCTTAAAGCGCCCATAGACCTGCGGGCTGCGCATCAGTGGTTTATGCCACATGAACTGCCGGCTATTGTTTGCGGACTCCTCCAAGGATGCTCAGAAATCTCCTTGGAAGCTCTAGCTCAAGCAGTGCGAGTCACAGCTTGTTAGGCGCCAGATGGAAAACGAGGGAAGAGTGTCCCAGCCAAACGCCGGTTGGGGCTAGCTTTCAGGCCGCTCGCAAGGATCTCCTTCGTGTGGACTTTGAAGTGCCTGAGAGACTCATGGCTGGCCTAGGGCCTAGGGTATGCCATTACACGACCAGGACATGGCTTCCAGTTCCATCAAGCTGGTAGTGCCCCTGCTAGATCAGGGGTGACCGGAGTGCATCAATGTTTTTTTGCACGGGTGGAGGCGCTGTGTGCGCCGAGAGGCACAAGTCACCTTGATTGAATTAAATAGGGTTACTAAGGAGATACGAGTCAGGCACCAAAACAAGAAACAAGCCAAGCAACCAAAAACCAAACACCGACATGACCGGAGTGCATCAATGGAGTGTTATGCTTCCCACCAGTGCCCAAGTGGCGCAGGAGGTGTATGAGCCACTCATCGGGACACATGCCGACGCATTGGTGCAGCTCCAGCTTTACATTCAGATTGAGTTGATGCAGCTTGCAGCCAAGATGGAGAAGGATTGGCGCAATCTCATCACTATCTTGGTGAAGAACAGTGAATCATCACGCAAGTCAGCATCTTCTTTGTCTGAATCGAAGGATGATTTGTCTTTCTACACAATCCCTGAGGACTTCCAGATGGTACTCTTTGGATCAGTGGGTGCCCTGTCAGCAACGAGTTGTCATAAAAACACTGAGACTGCAACCTAAGAACCTAAATGATTGACCAAAAGCGCCCAAAGATTTCAAGTCAAATGATAAATGGTCCGGAAGTACCGGTAAACATTAGATAGCTGGCGGAATGAATGAGGAGAGATGCTTGGTGAGATTGGGCGCAGCACAGCAGCGGCTTTGTCAGGGCGAGCGCCTACACCACCAGGACCAAGCAAGCCTATCGCCTACGCTCCAGTGAAAGTCACTCACAAAGATCAGCCATACGGATTCTTGTGGTGGTTTGTAACTATGTTTTTATGTTTTCACTTTTCCTGGCAGGATTAAGATAGTATAATGTTATATTGTACTTTATTTTAGACCTTTTGGACCTTTTGTAATCTTTGTAACCTTGGTATTTTTTTATTGAATCTGTTTCTTATTTGAGTTGAAGTAGTGATGCCAAGTGCTAAGTTCTTTTTTGATTGACTTTCAACTTTTGAGGTGGGATGGACTTGGCTGTCTTTGCCCATGGTTTCAACACCATGGATGTGCCTTCTCCTTGCGCTGCTTGGATGACACCCATTGGCAGTGAGCGTGGAGATCCGATCTCCTTCAACGTCCAGTACGATGAACATGAACACACGTTTTCCTTTGGTGGCAAGGAGCTTGCCATCACCTATGGGGTTCTACGTGCTGCTTCAATAGAGCCTGAAGCAGTTGTGCGCCGAGTGGATGGGAAGCACTATGCTGTGCTTAAGCGTGGATTGCTGGAGCTAGTTGTTTTGGTAATAACTACCGTTTTTTGTTGTTGTTTTCTATTTTGGTTTCATTTGTGTGTGTCAAAGCCTGTCAAAGTCAAAAGCAATCTTCCAAGAACACCACTCTGCTCGACCATGTTATTTTTTCCTGCTGATGAACCTTCAAATGTAAATAAGACTTGGTTGTTTCAGTTGTCAGTAGTCAGTGTTTCATTATATTGTTAAAATCCTCCCAAAACTTTGCAACCAAGGCCTGGTGAAAAATGGAAGAAGACTACGCCCAAGGCCGCAGCATCTCGCAAGCGCAAGGCGGATGAGATTGCTGAAGAGCCTGAAACAATGGTAGATTTTCCACAGCATGTGGGATTTGGTGCCAAAGCACTTGTGTCTTCCCGATTCAGCGCAAAAGAGTCCGCTGAAGCAACCCCCATGGTGCTGAGAACCCCACGGGATGCAAGCCATCTCGTCAAGTGAGCGTCACAGCCGGCCAAGTGTCAGCGGTGTTGTAATGCTATACTTACAGTTTTTTGTTGATGATGATGACAATGTAACTACAGAATCGATGTCTATAGTCTACAGACTCTATAGAAGTTGTTGGAGGTTTCAAGAAGGCTCCATGCACCGTGTCCCATTGCTACCAGGCCTCATCAAACAAAAACACTAGACGACAGGGTGGCCC